AAAAAAAAAAAAGTACTCACTACTGCCCTCAAAAGCTTTTTACTTTTGAAAGATTCTAGCCATTCCAGTCTAAATATACTTGCAGATTTACTGAACGATTAGAAACAAATTAAACCATCAGGCACCAGAAGTTCCTAGTTCAGACATCACTATAACCCACCTGAAGTATTCTTTAGAGGAGATCAACATGTAAGTTCGCAGACTCTGACAAAGCAGATTATCCTCCACAGTGTGTGTGGCCCTCAATAATCAGCTGAAGGTTCCTTTTCCTTTTGGGAGTACTGGAGATTAAACCCATCACCCTTGCACTGAGCTACATCCTCAGCCTTTTAAAATAATTTACGACGGGGTTTCATTAAGCCACTACATTGACTTGTGATCCTCCTGCCGCGGTCTGACAAAATGCTGGGACTACAGGTGTGCACAATCACTCCTGGCAGTAGAAGGCCTTTCCTGAGAAAAGTCTGAAGTCCCCAGAGGAGAAGGGAAGGGTCTCTGTCTCTAGAAGATGCAACATCAGCCCTTTCCTGGGTCTCTAGTCTGCACATTTCAGACTTGCCAGCCCCCGGTCTCACGAGCTGATTCCTCCAAATAAACCCTTTCTCTATCTGTCTGTAAAAACGTGTGCACAGTCTTCTACTCTGGAGAATGTCATTAAGTACAACAGGTGATTTGGCCAAGATCATACAGCTAGTGAGTGCCAGAGCTGGAATTCAAATGCAGGTATATTGAAACCAGAGACTGTGCTCTTAAATCAGTGGTTTCAATGATTGCTGAATGAGTGAAGAAAGTGAAATGATTTACTCACCAAGTAGACATTACTTGCTGACTGCAGTGAATAGTATAAATGGACAATGAAAGGACTTTTGCTTAGAGCCAGTGCATCTCTCTCTGCTTGGACCTGATGAGTCATATTTTTATTGATCATGTCTGCTTTTTTGACAACCTGAAACAGACATTATGACAGTATTATGACTTAGTTTTTATTAAGTGTTCTCAGGCTGCAAAGTGGCCATCATAAAAGACTCAAAGAGGGACAACACAGGTGTCATTTGAGCCTCACACTGCCATCGGGACACTGCCAGAAAAATAGCCAAGACAGTTAAACAAACGTACACACAAAAGCATTCTCTTGAAGACAGAACAACTTGTCTTAGTATTAAGTAGCAAAAGTATCACATTCATTTTGACAAGGAAAAAGAAATAAGGGCTTCCTAATTGACCTGCATATTTGTAGGTGACTGTTCTGCTATTCTGATCACAAAGCTAAACGATAACATTCCTAAGAAACCCTTTGGATAAGCTGAACCTGGGCACAGTCTAATAGCAACACTAGTATGTACAAGATTTAAACTTGTTCTTTTTTTGGGGGGGGTACTAGGGATCAAAGTCAGGACCCTGTACTTGTGAGGCAGGCTCAGTGCCAACTAAGCTAAATCCCCGGCCCTGCAATTCTTTAATGGGTAGAAACAAAATCAAAATGTTGGAAGGTGTATGCTTCACTCACGCTAGAATTATTAGAACTATTTTGTTTGTTTGTTTGTTTTTTTGAGACAGGGTCTCACGGTATAGTTGAGACTGACCTGGAACTCAGTGTGTAGCCCAGGCTGGTCTCGAACTCACAGTGGTCCTCCTGCCTCAGCCTGCCGAGTGCTGGGACTACAGGCGTGAGCCACTACGCCTGGCAAAATTATTAGAACTATTGAAGCTTAGTCTCAATTGCTGTCTTATGGAAGACAACTGATTACACTTTTAAACTTTCATTTAATCCTTAATGTAAATTAAAAAACAAAGCTATAATCTACATTAGTGTTAGAATTGAACTGACCTGAACAGTCACTAACATCGGAATAAATTCTCAATACCGTCACAAGAAAACAAGGCATTCATTCATAGGCCAGGAATGTAGCTCAGTGGTGCAGGGCCTGCCTGGCAAGTAAGCCCTGAGTTCAACTCCTGGTACCGAAAACAAGGTTTTTTTAGGCAATCATTAGTGTATTTAATAAGTCATTAATATTTGTATATGGTAAATTCCAGTCATACTTCCTTAAGAACACCAGGGGAAGTTGACGGCGAAAGACTGCAGTGTGATTTTGCTGAGCGTTCCATGGGACTGGAAGCTCTGAGGGCGTGTCTGTTTGTTCACCACTGGAGCCCACATTCAAAATATTTAGTGCACAAATTAACCGGTGCTTTCATGTCAGCAGACGATAATGATTGATTACTATACACTATAGAAGTTAAAGCAGAAATTTTAGGAAGCATAAAGCAGGTAACTATCATAATGGAATGGGCCGGAGAAGGTTTGAAGGGGAGCTAAGATTAAAAAGGAGAGAATAGAAACGCATTAAAGAGGAACCAGCACACACATAAGCTCAGAAGCAAGAAAGCACACAGCATGGACGGACTAGTTTCGCCTGAACGCAAGGTATGGGGGAGAATACAGTAGAAATCTAGAGCCAGAACTGGAAGCATGACTTTTCTAAGGAATTTGGACTTTAGCTTGCATGTCACAGCCCAAGGAATGGATGAGACATAAAGATCATGATTCCAGTCAGGGTTATTCCACTGCACTAGGTACAGAAATGAAGATCTGACGAATTTCAAAAGGATCATGTCAAGTGAAAACAGTAACAAATGCATATTGCATCACTCCATTACTTGAAATTTCCAGAAAAGCCAAATCTTTAGAAAGCAGATTAGTGGTTACCTAAGGCTGCAGTGTTAAAGGTGGAAAGCACTGCAAATGAAGAGGTCGTTTTCTGGATAATGGAACTATTTTCCAAAATTGGACTGTCGTGACAGTTACACAACTATTTAACTTACTAAAAGCCACTGCAACGTACGCTGACAAAGCATGGGGGAAGTGAAGGCCTACACTTGGGTATAGACTTGGGAATAGAAAGGAAGGGGTCAAAAGAATGACTGTAAGACGCAGAATTAGGAATAAAGAGATACAACTGATAGATGAAGCGCAAGAAAGTTAAAACGACTCAAGTTTCCAGTGTGAAGGACAGGAAGGATGTTGGTGCTATTCAATGGAGAGAGGGAATACAGGAGGTTCAGTATAGAAGTTAGGTGTAGAGGATTGTTTGAGTTGAGGCAAGTATAATTTGGAGGTGTGTTCTAGTCACTTGTCAGTGTCCAACAGGAAGGTGAAACTGCACGGCCTGCTGGCTTCTCTTTTCCTTTATGCTTTCATTCAGTGCTGAAATATAAAGAATCTGAAACCTTGACAGAGTGGACAGCTGCAAATACCTATTAAGTGCTTTTATACATACACTTCTGCAAGGATGGAACGATTCACACAGGACACATCTCAGCCCCCTTTATATAAAAGCATAGACATCAGAGTAGAATGTGAAGAGATGGAATCTCAGCATTGTTTTCATCTTCATTGCTTAAATGACTAATGATGTTGAACATTTTTTCATATGTTTACTTGCTATTTCTACCTCACTCCAGGAAGAATGGCTGCTGTCAAATTAACCAATACTAAATGCTGGCCAGGCTGTGGGGAGAAAGGAACCCTTCTCCACTGTTGGTGGGAGGGCAGACTGGTGCAACCACTGTGGAAATCAGTGTGGAGCTTCCTCAAAGAACTAGGACTAGAGGCCCCATTTGACCCAGCCATTCCCCTCCTCAGTTTCTTCTCAAAAGAATTAAACGAATCATCCCACAGTGATATATGCACACCCATGTTTACAGCAGCCACAGTGTGTAATAGCTAAATCTTAGAAACAGCTCAAGTGCCCATCAAGTGGAGACTGGATAAAGATTTTAAAAAATAAAATGGAGTACTACTCAGCCATAAAGAACGGGAAACTAAGGACATTTATAGCTAAATGGATGTATATTGAGGCAATACTCTTAAGTGAAATAAATGGGACACACGTGTAAATACTGAATAGTTTCTCTGGTGTGAGAAATTGAAAGTGTAAATAAGGATCAAAATAATAGATAATAGGAAATAGGAAGAAAAGGACCAAAGGGGAAGAGGAAGGGAAAGGGGAAGTAGGAGGCATAGGGTAAAGGAAAGGGAAAGGAATAAATATGATAAAATGAGAAACATGCAAAGTCTTTGTAAACTGGGAGGGGTGGAGGGGTGAAGGGAGAGCAGGGGATGGGGAAAAATAAGAATCAAGGTCCATCATTATAGGTACAAATTCCCAATGATAAATGTCATGTTGTATACCTAAATGTACCAATAAACAATGAATTAAAAAAAAAGCAAAGTGTGAAGAGATAAAAATGACATTTGTTTAATGAGATCTTTGGTTGTACAGCGGCTTAAATATCAACTTATTACAATGTACGGAATTAAAATATAAGGTGCAAGCGACAACTACAAACAATGAAAATCCAAACTTAAACCTATTAAAGACCAAATTAAAATTAGTAAAAAAGGTTCAGAAGATACACGAAACGCATAGGTAATACTCAGTTAAACATTTTAGAACAGAGTTACTAGAAAATAATGCAACTACCTCCTGGTTAAGTCAAACTTGAAACCAGTACCTACAAACTAATCATTTTTGCGACAGAAAAATTTCAATGATCCTGATGCCAAAGCAGACGAAAAGGGAAAACACCACCAACAGCAACTTAATGCTTTTTGGGTTCAGAGAGACGACTGGCTGGACGTGTGCCAGGCTCCCGCTCCTCGGGTAACCCCTAGGTCACCGGGCCGGGCGAGGTCAGGCCCCTGGGAGAGGGAGGGCGAGGCCGGGCAGGGAGGGGCAGCAGCCGGCCCGGGAGGCCCCCGCACCGCCTACCTTCACAGCGTACAGCCGGTCGCC